CAATAGGGGTATTCATGATGTTTGTAAGTTGTTAGTTAGTGTTAATTCGAATAGAGAAATGCCCAGTAAGATCGTGAACGTCCCCTTCTTTTCTTAGCATGTTAAACGGTAATTTTTCCGCAATACTGCGCGTGGCGATTGGAAGAACCAAAAATAAAGCTATAACAGTCCCTGATGGATTGTTATCATTTGTTTTGGTTTTGTTTTGTGTTAAATCGTATGATACTAGAAGTTAGTAAAAAAGGAAAATTAAGCAACTCTTTCATTCAAAATACTCTCTATGCGCCGACATACCTAACTTGCATCCTAACGTCAAACACCCCTATAACTTATGTATGATGTATTATTATGAATGAGAGTATAAGGACAGGTCAGAAATTAACAAAAGAAATGTATTGGTCTGATTCAATTAATGCTTTTTTAAGAACAAAAGTACGTGTAAACAAAAAACAGCTGTTAAATTCATGGCTACCATTTTAGCTACTTACGCCCTAACGGATACCAGTGTGACTATATTTTTGATCTAACATTTAACATTGGCCCTGTTAGGTCGAGCAAAGTTAACTGGCCGATTTTTACAAGTATACTTCATCATTGTTCTCGATCTAACAAGATTTTCAAAAACACTGGCACCCTGAGGGTTTATATGACCTCTGCTGTTGCAAACCCTGGTAAAATAATAATAATAACAACAATTAGGCATATTATACATCAAGAGGTTAATAGTAGTCAACTTACATGTTACATTGTCATAAATAGATTTGATTGCATTAGTACATTCTTAAACCTCTAAAAAAACTTTAAAAAACAATACATAACAATAATTAAAATCTTTAATCACGTTCTTGTGGATGGATTGACCTTGTGTACATTTTATGTGTGATAATCAGGTATTAAGTCACAGAAACTTTGAAACTCCCAACTTCATGCCAAGCTTTAGTTTAACTTGTAAATATCTTCAGGATCTAAGTATATGTTATTTGTATAGCCTATATGTTTTTCGTATTAGGCCCTGAAGATGTTTACAAATTAAAAGAAAGCTTGGTCATGAAGTTGGGAGTTTCAATGTTCCTGGGACCTAATACCTGTTATCACACATACTTTAATAAATTTATTTATCAAATTAAAATTAAAATTAAAAAGGGCGGTTAGATTGTTTTTTATAAATTTAGGAAGGTTACCAATGGTGACTGAAATCAGGATTGACACAATTTCACATTAAAGGAAGGCTAAATCAAACCATTGCTAAGATTGTCAATACCGCTCCTTATATTCCATGAATTAACATCTGCTTTAATGTGAAGCATTTCCTTTATAAGTCACCTGCCCAAGACTTTTTCTATGTCACCAACCTTCACTCCATCAAAATTTATGTCATGTCTTGTGTCGTGGTGATGTTTTAACAAAGCTGTCCCTGGTCTACCCACGTCAGAACAATCGTACCGGTGTTGTCTCTCCCTTTCACCTAGGTATTCTTTTTTCTGATCATAATACATCATGGGACAGTTTTTATGTGGGGAGGAATATACAGTATTTGACATTTTTTCAAACGGATTTTAACATTTCAGTTCTCAAAACATTTTTCTCCTAATTTTAATCTCGAATTACAAAAACATATTTACATCAATGAGTTTATTTTCCTAAAAGAGAATTAAATTTTTTTTAGAAGCATCACCAATAGGAGATAATCTCCCATCCAAATTCCTGTTGTTAACAGGTCTTTTTCTTTGAGAATGTTTTTGGAGCGTACTAAAATGTAAAGATCCGTTTTAAATTTTACCCGATCTTTGAAGGTTTTTGGCATGGAAAAGTCTTGGGCAGGAGACTTATAAAGGAAATGCTTCAGATTAAAGCAGATGTTAATTCATTGAATTTAAGAAGCTACGTGTATTGGTGATTAGTGACCGTTTGTCGATGATTACTCAGAAATCGTGAGATGCGGTCTGGTGTGATGTAGGTTTCACAAAAACATTTTCTTTATCGTGCCCACGTTTCGATCTTTATTGAGATCATCTTCAGGGTCTTGGATTTACANTACATCCAAGACCCTGAAGATGATCTCAATAAAGATCGAAACGTGGGCACGATAAAGAAAATGTTTTTGTGAAACCTACATCACACCAGACCGCATCTCACGATTTCTGAGTAATCATCGACAAACGGTCATATATATATATATGCCTATAAGTATGTTTAGTATTGTTTATATATGCCTATAAATATTATGTTAAGAAGCTACATTACCAACCTTAGCGTCATCTACAGTGGTTTGTTTGATTTAGCCTTCCTTTAACGTTTGTCAGTCCTGATTCTAGTCACAAACAATCTAGCCGCGCGTTTTAATTTTAAAGTGACAAATAGCATTATTAAAGATTTTACTTATTGTTATCTATTGTTTTTTTAAAGTTTTGTTAAAAGTTTAAAAATGTTTTATTGTAATCAAATTTATTTATGTCAATGTAGCGTCTAAGTTGACTTCTCTTAATTTATTGATATATTATATGCCTAATTCTTGTCTTAAGCCTAAATTGTTGAAATTGACTGTAGAGCTCTGAACAAGACTGTAAAAAAGGTCGAAAGCTTGGCGTGAATAATTACTTCTTCGTGACTGCATCCCCGACCCGCAACAAATTGGTGATATCTAGGTCGTCGATTTATCTTACCTTCGTTAAATCTTAAATTAAATAAAAATAAATGCTTAAGTAAGATCTTAAAAGATTGTTACAAGAAAAAGGTTGAGAATGAACCTATTTTTTTTATATATATATTTAATGACCGTCCGAATGAGGTCGTGAGATCGATCTCGCACCTACTTGTTAAAACTTATTTTTAATAAGAACTGCGACTTTCGTGTTCACCAGATGTAAAAAATGCAACGGTAGATTTCAAAAAATCTTTGGCTTTATTAATTATCAATCACTAGTACGCAGCTATCCAAAATACTCTAGTCGTTTGATTACCCGGATCAGTAAGATCACATATGACTGAAAGGTTTGAAAACAGGAATATTAAATACATTTTATTCAAGATGAATATACAAAATCATAAAATTGAATCTGGCCGGATTGGACTCACTTAATGACATAAGAATACTGTCTTCTTATTAGTTTGTATGGAAGCGTTTAAACTCTGCAATTAAATCCCTGGAGATTTTATCTAGCAATATCCAGCACAGACTTTAGTACCCCCCCGACGGCTGCTCTGGGCTCATGAATTATTTTATGCTCGCCAACATAGGACCAATCACAGTTGAAAATAGTGCATCTCTACAATGGTGGATATAATGATCAATATATACAACAGCCCTTCTTCGGTTTGTACACGATTTCATACAATGTGCGTAATGTTTAAACCGCTTAATAAGGAACTGTATGCATATTTGCGGCAGCGATTATTTGGACGCACTATTCTGATTTTTGAAAGAAACAGGGCTGTTTTATTGTGCAGACTATTTGATTTATATCTCGTTTTATATTTAGGCCTGAATGTATTTATTAGCGTGAATTTCTAATCTGAAAGGGTTGATGAGGTTCTCTATTTGATTAGTTATATAATATGTGTATAATATTCTATTCTGTAGTCTGTCATAATTATGCGTGGGCAAATTAGATTATTATTACGTTTATTATAATCCTCACCCTTTCAATAAAAGACAACAAGAGGATTTGGTATGATTTCAAATTTGGCGTTTAAAAATTCTAAACATCGTATAGATAAATGAGAATAATATCACTTTTCTCTTCACCACTCAAAACCTGGGATTTTACTAATATATTTTGGTTAATTAAACAATTTTGTACTTAGGTTATAATGGTTACAAAACAGGTACATAATATAATGGCAAATATAATGAAAAAAGGAAGTTGTTGGTTAAGTTATTATTCAAGAAATTATTTTGGAAATGGAATGATGCTGAAATGTTTTCAACGATTTTAATCTTTTGTTGTAATATTATTATTAGGAATAGTACACATTTTACCTACATTATTTTATGTATGTACATTTATGCTCGTGCATAATCAAAATTTATATGCAAATATATATTTCCAGACAGAAATCTGTTCGACTGTTCTTTTTTCAATTTTATATCAACGAGATCTCTCAGATTAAAGAAAGGAGCAGCAATGACCGTTAACTCGATACACTCGAAATTATGACATGACAGGCAACCGGTCTTGGCCCATTATTTATTGAGGTAGCTATCTCTGAATAGTGTGTTTATCCCGTTTATAACGACCTGGGGTCGGCCCGTGTCAAAGGGAGTTCGTTGACACATAACTTTCTCGTTTTCGTTTTGTTCCACCGCTCTCCTTGACGTCTCTTAATAATTAACCTCACACCCGGTTATTAGTGTCAGAGAATGACAAGCACTGGATGGGCATCTTCAATTAAGCGGCCACAAGTCATCCCATGGACCCTTTTACGCGTATACCGGAAGGAGGAATAGCTAGTGTCTCCTAGGATAACGCCAACACGTGCCCAGTTACCATTTATTAAAATATTTACAATCAGGAAATTTCTTTTTTATTCTGCAATCAGTAGCATAATATACTTAAACTATTATTTAAAATCTCATGGGAACGGATTTCATCTCGAACGAAAGGAGAATCATCATCATTCATCTTCGATTTTTAGTAAGATTAAGGATTGGGCATAGTTTGAATGCGGCGGATGATAAGATGTTTCGCTGAACCCAAAACCTCCAATCCGTAAGTTCATATCAGCTTAAGTATGGTGTAAAACGGCTTTGTATTTTTGGGTGGTAAATCAGAAGCTTTGTCAAGAAGTCGTGCACAACCCTTGTATCATTACTTCTAAATTTTTTGGCTGGTCTTGTACTTGGTGATCGTCGTCTACTAGGAGAATTCCTATTTTATTTGGCTATATAAAATTAGTAGTAAATGGGGAAGTAAATGAGCGGAGGATGAAGGAGAAGTCCCTCTATTATCATCTGTTGGATCATTATTAACATCTGACAATCGAAGGTTATTTGTCTCCATTTTGCATTTGATTGATATTACTTCGTGCTGATTACCAATATTTCATGTTTTGTAGGAGGCAGTTAGATTCTTCGTAATTCCAGGTAATTTGTTTCGATGTATTTCTTCTCATAAATTTTATTTGAGAACATATTACAATTTATTAATATTTACTTTTTACAACAAAGTTGACAGCAGCAACTTGATTGTTAGTTCTTTGCTGGCCTCGGTTAGTTTGCCAGGCGCGTTTCGCCATTTCCCCACCTACAAGGGTTGGCTTTGCGTGATATTTTTCTAGCAGTTCGTGTTCCTTTGTTACGTTTGTAAAAAGTGAAGGGGCGAATGGTATTATCTTGGTTCTGCGGCGTCTTTTATGATTAACTCTTGGGTTTATTAGTTGTTTGTTCTTGACGTTTATTGTCTAAGTTCGTTTTCTTTTGGTGTTGCTGTTGCTTATTTGTGTGTTGCCTTCTCGTGTTGCCGTGGTTGTATATTGAATATTTTTAACGATATTCATTATTCTTCCTTTTCAAACGTCTAGGAACATTTTTAAAGTGTATGATATGTTCAGTTTAGATGTTCTATGATATTAGTTGTTTGTTCATGCATATGAGCACGTTTGATGAAATTCTTATTTGCACATTTTGGCTGATAATTTGAGAGTTTAATTTCTATATTGACATTGATAGAATAGTTTGAATGTGAAAGTGTTGATGTTGACAGTTGATGTCAGTTACTGATTATGCAGAAGTGGAATTTGCAGTTACGTTGTTGAATGAATTTTAATGGATCAAAGAAGTCAATAATGTGTAATATTTAGTGTCCGTTATGTAGTGAATATTTAGAGATCGTGAGATGAGGTCTCGTGTTATGTAGATTTAGAAAAACATTTTCTTTATCGTCCCAACATTTCGATCTTTATTGATAGATTGTTTAGTTTAAACAATGTTCATAAATCCCAGGCCATGAAGATGATCTCAATAAAGGTCGAAACATTGGCACTATAAAGAAGTTATTTTGTGGTTAGTTTCAAAGGTGAATATAATTGTTTTATGTATTGACGCATTCGGATATTTTACTATGAAATTTTTCTTAAATTTTGTTTATTTGATTGGCCGAGTACGAAATCTATCTTCATGTGCGAACATTGTGTCTGTTTTATTAAAATTAAAAGGTGCTGCAGTATCGTAAACAGTGTATTTTTTAGTATTTCCATTATTCCCGTAACTCTCTCCCCTGTTTAAATGTCCGCTTCATCCTCAATTTTAATCAATCGCTTGACAAATTGACTGACAATCCTTCAATATATAAATCAGAATAACTCATATTCCGATTGCGGTTAACAATTTATAGTGTGTTAAGGTCTATCATTCTTTGCTGGTCTTTAACTTTCTTTCCCATTGTATACTCTTCTGTATACCTCTTTCTCTTTTATACTTTCTAATTATTTTTTTCCGACGCTGCAGCTTCATTTAATAAAAATATATACACAATGGAATACCATTCAGATTAATAAATTACAAGGCTCGACAATAAACAGGGTCTCTACTTCCACTCTAATAAATTATATTCACTTTATACAAAACAATATTTATGACATTTATTCATGCCCGAGTGTTAGAATAATAGCTCGGGGATCGCCTGCCACTCTACTCTCGATAAAAAATACATTCCTTCCAATACATAGCATATATGTTTCCCTCTGGGGTCGCAATGTCATTTTACATTGAGGTTCTTTAGCGTGCGCACCTGGCACATAAGCCTTATCATACGATTAGATTCTCAAGTTAGGAGCGACTCACCTCCGCGGACGGAAATTCTGCTTCCTCCGTGAAGTTCGGTGTAGAAGCCCACATCATCCTGCACCATGGTGCCGACATGTCGACTTCTCCCGCTTGCCCCTTCTGAAGGGGTGGGTTAACATTGTGCACTTAACGAGTTGCGAGCGTAAAGGGATACCCAAAAAGTGTTCGAAATGCACCGACCAAATCTTCTTCGCACTCTCTAGATAGAGAAGCAACTCTATCTCCCTGGCTCCGCTAGCGTCGAAACCTCCGGATGCGCTCCTGCCGCGGTTTCGATTTAAGCGGAATCTCGAAACACCTCTTAGAGGAGACCATGCCTTCGATAAAGGCAGCCCAGACGGCCACCACCGAAAAACATTCGCTCCCGTCCACCATTCATCACGCATTCGAGGGACTCCGTCAGCGTAGGATTAGCTCCTGGATGGCTGTACGATCCTTCCGATTCCCGCAAGGTCGGGAGGTAATTCGGAGCTCATATGCAGTACTATGGTCCCCGGCAACAAATGAAACACAACCTCTTCTTTAGGTACCCGCTAGGAGTCTCTCCCCTAGCCATAGCGAGTCCTTACCCATGCAGCTGGGCTTGAACTTGAAACGAAAATACGATGCCTCGCAGTTCAGATGGTTATGAACCCTTCAAACCCCCCATATATATAGACAGAATCTGGTACCCTAACCCCCTGATGAAGCACCCGCCGTCCGAGGTCAGCTCGCAAGCCATCACCTCCCTTGACGCATTTCTTTCGTAGGCGTAGTCTTGTCGTCCTCCCACGCTGTACGCTTCCTAGATCCTATCGTCCAAATGCATGCAGAGGATGCTTAAGGCGATCATGCGCGCCAGAAAACTCGTGCAGCTTGTGCTTTAGAGAGTTTGACACGCTTTCAAGGCTACACCATTATTTTGTGCCTGGAAACCCCCCTTACAAATATGGGTTGGGAAGGGTCTGCTGGAGTCTCCTAGGAGCAGGCTGAAAGTCCCAGGAATTGGTTTGAGTAAAAAGGGAAAATCTTTCGTGATGCGCTTGCCCTCACCCACATCCCACCTGCTCGTTCAATCTTACCGCATTTTAAACCTCATTATAGCATATATCATATCACAGCAAAACTCAACATAGCACATAGACAAACAAAAACAAATAGGTATTCGGATAACATATACTGTTAAAATATTTATGGCTCTGAGGAATGCTAGCTGCTGTATCAGATGGCTGCGCATAGGGCAGACAGAATATCGTAGTTCTTTTTTTGCACATTCAACACCCTACAATTATTGGTTAAACTTATGTGCCATGAACCCATATAAAGAAGAACCTCTTCTCATTACGATTGATTCTTCTCAGTGTTCACATATTTTTCTGATTAATAGGTCTTCGGAGCTCTTTTGCTAGTTCATGGACCGCCCTTATCGAATCTGAGCTCATTATTATTTTCCACTGTAGTTTTTGAAATCTGGTGAGATAAAAAATAGAAAACCGAACAATAAAAATTTAAATGAAATTGCATAAATTTTTTCTTATTTATAAATATTTTTACATTATGTCTTTTTCATAGATTGTTGTCTCTTTTACCGAAATTAACGATTATGAATGGAATATCTTTGTTTGTGTGTGAGTGTGAATGGTTATTCTAATAAAACAGACGTTTATAAATTAATAACATCCGTTCCACGTTTACAGTAAATCAGTTTAAAATAAAACCATCTCCCATCGTGTCCGTCTCTCCCTAAACGCTGTAAAATATAATGTACATCCTTTCGCCGCTCTCGACGATAAACGTCATCTGAGGTTGCTTTTACGGCCGCGTTGGCTAACAAGCCGATGGAAATAGGCCAGATGTAAGCAACCGGAGTGCTGATTTATGAGACGAATCTCCATCTATTTGTATTTAGGAATCCACAGGTGGGTAGGGAAAGGGGGTGACAGAACGCCAACGACAATCAGTCTTTCCCTGGTCTTATCCGAGTAAATAGTGACCTGAGTTATCTATCGGGTTCGTTCTCATGGCGATTATCATTATCACAAGTTTGTACCTGGTTTTCCTTCCTTCCTTGTGGGTGAAAGCTGTTGAAATAAACTTCCTTAATTGACAATTTGATGTCAACATATATATCAAATTCGTTTAGAAAAAAAATTATTAAACAAATTTTTATTTAATTTTTTTTTAAACCACACATAAAATATATCGACTAGTTTTTCAATTTGACCATACAGTGTACAAATTTACTTATGATTTAAGGAACGCGTATCTTAAAAAGAAATAACTGTCATCCCTACAATTCAAACTTTTTTTCTCAAATGGTCATGAAATAATTCCAGGACATTTTCCCGGTAGGTAAATGGAATCTTGGAAATGCACATCACATCTTTTTCCAAATTTATGGAAATTAAGGTTCGGGAATACATCATCGTTTTAGCCGTTATTGCCCGCAAAGTTTATTGTTGCTTTGGATTCGTTTGTGTATTTCTCTTGCGTTAATGATGGTTGTTTAGTGTAAAAAAATAAAAATAAAATAACAATAAACAAACCGATAACATAAAAACAGCACTCAACCGGACCGCATTCAACTACATAGAAAAGAAATGTTTGAAATAACAAATCTATTTAATAAATTAGGATTTCCAATAGCACTAAAGGTAAAAACACAATCAGAAAACTATTGTGCTAAAACCAACCTACATGACGAAAATGGCATATGCACCATGCGAATAAAGAAACACATTGGACAGACAGGAAGGGGAAAAATAGACACAAAAATAGATACATAAGATCGCTCAGCAGCAGTGGTGGAAAACCAAACTGCGCGAGTCGCATCCTGGCCTGGGATTTACAAACATTGTTTAAATTTAACAAATACATGTAGGTTGGAGGAAACAAGTGAATTTATACAACGCAAAAAAAATATATTTTTTTTATATTGAATCAAAGTATTTCTACTCACTCAAAGTGTTTGTTTTCTGCGTATTTGTGCCATTCTTGCGTGTTGTTGAGAGGGCCAGTGAGGTATTGCTGTTTTATGTATTTATACGCTGGTTTATATTATATTATTATTACATATATCGTCGGCTCTTTTCACCTCAAAGAAGCTGACTCCTTATACAAAAATGTCTTTCTATAACGACTTCAAAATCCAACATAGATAGATCGATAAATAAATAAATATATATATAAAGAGAGTGAGAGAGAGGGGGAGAGAGAGAGAGAGATAGAGATAGAGAGATAGAGAGAGAGAGAGAGAGAGAGAGAGAGAGAGAGAGAGAGAGAGAATAGCTAAATATTTTTATGGAGATATCTCCAAATTATGTGCGTCTTGTTTCAATAAAATTATTATTTTTCTGTCATTAAATTTCATCCATTTTTGTCAACTAAAGTAAAAATTAAATTTGAGTACAATTTAATTTTGTGAACATTGTATTCACCTCCCGGGTAGTTTTTTCTGAATGTGTTAACTACTTGTTCATCAGTTTCAGTTGTATCAGTTTATTTTCTTAACTTTTTTTTTAATCCGTTTTATTCCGGTTGGATTGGCCACACAGAGGGTTGGAAAAGTTCACAGGAGTCCGATGAGGGGCCGAGCATCCGTTTTCCCTTTATACACTTTCCTTTCCAACGATTTTCTCTTCAAGCAATTATCAAATGTCAACGTTTCACTAAACCAAATGCGTCTTTCTTGTATGCGGAAGCTGGCAGAACGTGAAACATGACGATAGACGCAGCTGACGTTTAATCAATATCCACGATAAACCGACATCCGCGCCCATTGATCAGCAGTAAACAGTAGAAATTCTGTGACTACCTGTTTTGTAGTCGTAGTTATACGTACTACAATATAGTTTTACAATGTGAACTATAGATATGTGAAAATCGATTCTCGGTGGAACCATATTTACTTTTCGACAGATAGTGAATAAATATTATACTACTTACAGTTTAATAAGTAATATTTTGATAATGTCCCGATCGGTGAAGAAAAATTGAGCCATATTGAAAACAGAAACACTTTGTTTAAAACCAGAAAAAACGATGATTTTGGTTGTTGATCCCAACGCAGAAAGGGGAGAAGGTAAGAAAATAAGAATTTAAATACGAAGGAAACGGAAAAAATAAACAGACTGGGTAGATGCTGAACGATAAACCGACGAACGATTTTTAAAATTTTCATTAATTTCTTACCTTCTTCTATAATAAGTATAGTTTTATCCAGGGGATATTTTTTACCATATAGATGTTTTCATGCGGAAAGATGCAAATTGGAGTCATATTTACTTTAGACCTGATCAATTATCACCGAGAAAACTTAAACGATTTCTTATATGATTATTCACATTGGTGTGGTTGTAGGAAAAAGTATAATACTTATGTTGAATTTTAATATATTTCAATGTGAAATGATCAATGAATTTTAATTTTTATTGATGAATCAATTTTAATTTTTAGACCTGGCGATGTCGCGAAAGAAATGTGATTGATCGATAAGACTAGGAGTATCCGATATTTTACATGTTTCTGTTTTACTGTGTTTTAACACGTATATATATATATNTATATATAATGTATAAATTAAATAATAGTTTATAGTTTATTATTATCGAAAATTTTATGTAGAAAAAAAGTATTTATTATAAATGCGCAGACAGCATTTTGTATACAGTTAGTTGTACGTCACTGAGGAAAATGGAAAATCCAATGACCTTTGAATGCCCACTTTGTCACTCCCCCCAAAAATCTAATCTAAAGATTCACCATAGTAATAAAGACACAATCGCACTCATATGCACGAGTTCTTCGTACCCTCCGCATACCAAAATTTAGCAGAATATTGCGTTGACCTTCCCCTTCTGTTTCAGTGGGACGAAAACAATAAAAACACTTTTCCCTATAACATTACCGTTGGGTTTTATTAGACTTAATAAATATCTGCAGCGAGAAGGGGAAGCCCTGGTTTGCTTAGATATTAATAGAAAGATGAAGATGAGGGAGATTGCGAAGGGAGCTGTCTCCCATGGGGAGGCCGATACCCATACCTACGGCCCTTCTATAGTTTGACTCACAATTGATATTTAGGGTAGCGATAGGTCTCTCATATTTCCCCGTCGGATGGGCTCTTTCCTTCCCTCGTAACTTATTATTATTGGGGCAAGTTGGGGCATTGCCCATATCTTGTGGGAGTGGGACATTACTCAAAGTGAGGCTATCAGGATCTGGCGAGGGAGTCACTAGTCAGTAGGAAAAGCACCGCAGTTGATTCCACCTCTTTCATACATCTTTGTTATCCCTTTTATATACAACCTAGGTGTCATTTTTTATACACATATATTTACGAAAAATTTACACTGCCATTTGTAAACATTCTATTAGTATGGCGACCAATAATGTATACTACGAAAATAACTTATATCAGAAAAGTTTGAAAATTATACAAGTTCTTTTAATTAATTATTCTTTCTATGTAAGGTCTTGATTGAGATAAAAAAGTCACGAGCGGGATTCGAACCCACGACCTTCGGCTAAATATACCGTTGCTCTACCACTTGAGATATCGTGACTTCGATCCACTCGCACACCAACTCTCCATCACGATAGCTCAATAGTAGAGCACCAGCGTATTTAGCCAAAGGTCATTGGTTCGAATCCCGCTCGTGACTTTTTTATCTCAACCAAGACCTTACATAAAAAGAATAATTAACTGAAAGAAGTAACTTGGTCACCACTAAAACGTAAATGGATTATATAAGTTTTTAAATCTATCAAATTTTGCATTTATTTAATTTGTTTTTATATGCAGATAAACAAGAAAAATCATAATGAAAGTAGCAAACTACAAAGAAACATTCACAGTGCCAACAAATAAATGCCAACAGTGCAAAACACCACGCAAGGGCGCATGTAAACACATTTAAAGATAAATAGGTAAATAAGTAGATATGTAGTATTGAAGGAGTGAGTAGAGGGAAAGATAGAGGAGAAAGAGAAGAGAAGAGAAGAGAGAGAGAGAGAGAGAGAGAGAGAGAGAGAGAGAGAGAGAGAGAGAGTGAGAGAGTGAGGGTGAGGGGGGATTGATATGTTTAAACATTAGTGTAGAAACAATATAAGACCTAGTACGTTAATTAAATATACAGGTACAAAATAATACGGATTTGTGACAGTTACGATATTAACATGGATAAACAATGGTGATACGATCTATTTCATTATATGGTTATATATCTGTTACATACAAGAATGTATTAAAAAATTAGGAGTGTATACATTCACATATGAGTTCTATATCTAGCCTGTTAAAAGAATGGAATGACGGATAATTTTCAATAAACCTTCTTGCGTTTTGCGTTAATGATTATTGATTAGTTCTCTCCCGGGAGCTACAAAGTTTAAATGAAATTCACTGCAACTCGTTAAACCTCTTCCTTCTTATGACACCGTGATAACTTCATGAAAACTAATTTTGCAAGGGGAGAAAAAACCCGTTATGCTTTTAAAGACGTAAGCATGCAAAGTGGGTAATTGTTTAAAAACTTATAATTAATATTTCGACTTGTGTCAATATTTTCTCCGCCCTTTGTTATGTATAAGTCCCTTTGTATTCATCCCCTTTCCACTATAAAGCATCATTTTATGGAAATAGGAAGGTAAAAGTGTATTTAAAATAGGATTCATAAAAACAGGAAGCGCGCATTGTACACGGAAGGGGATTTCATAGGGGGTGAGGCGATGTAAATAACAAGCTAAAAAGATATACAAGCCCCCGGTTGAGAAGACATTGCTCAAACTTAAGCGGCAGGGAAGATGTACAAATCATGACAAATCCTTTCTAGAAGCTACCAATAAACAGGCTCCCCCCGGTGAATTATAATTCTAATAACGCTTACCCCCATGTTTACTGTCTATTTCAGGTTAGCGAGGGAGGGAAATATGTCATGTGCGACTTAACTACCCCAAATATCATCCCCAAAAGACGATTGAGTACCTTACGCCGTTAACTCTTATTACACGCAATTACCAAATGGCTATACGTTTATTCTATTATAAAAGGATATGCACTGAAACATCCACACACACACACAACAGCCAGATGTTATATGAATCGTCATAAATCACTAAAATCATGGAACCTGGTATGACAACTAACAGCATTCATCAGTTTTAAGAATACTCTTGCTTGTAAATTTTTGTTCAATTTCCTACAAAATTGATTTATGATTATGGTAATATTCATAAATTAAGTCCCGAAAAGTTAATACTTGTAGAAGAATTGGTCTTAGCATGGAGCACTAAACAGTGTTTTTAGCCTTATATGTTATTTTTAATACAAAATTATAACATTGGCAGATGATATCTAGATTACTTAAAGAACGCTTTTATTTTTTTTGTCGAAATCGTACTACAGCGTTACTCACAACGAATTATAAAATGATTATGGCTGCAGAATACTTTTATATATGTACTAGTGAGTAAAAACAATTGAACTACTTTTGCATTACAAACTGCATAACCACAAGTTAAAAACAATATGATAATAACTGCAATAGAGTTGTGTCTTGACATAAAAGGAAAACCCTCCTAATCTAAACACACGTTTCTATCAGAGAAATAGACATTTTTTAGTTCGAAAAACATCTTTTTTCATTTTCCAGTTAAATTTTAATGGTTTTAATGGTTAGTTATTTTGGCCTAGCACACTCCAAACTCTACTGATTGTAGTAACCTGTCGTTGGCGGTATTCGATCAATTCGGTCTTCTTATCCTCCCTGTTTTGTTCTGTAGAACGCGTGTTGACTTTTTTCTGTCGGGAGTGACATGTTTAACCGAAAATATTATAAAAACAAATATAGCAAGAAACCGAAATGTATCAGACCGATCAAAATCGGGGGGATGAGCAGGCCTTCTTGCATTAATCAATGTCCTGTTATTGGATGTTAAGGAAATTGTTACGAACTTTTGAAACATGTGAAACAGTTAATTTCCTCCTTTTTAAAAAAGATGGTTCCTACTCACATTAACTTAATGTGAGTAGGAACCATCTTTTTTAAAAAGGATTGAACTCCACACTCACCCCGTCATTTATAATTTCAGTTAATTTACTATGAAAATTTTAAATAATTAATAAATATATGGATTCTTGGTTGTAAAAGTTGGGGATTTAGTTTTCTCCCAGTTCTCATTTTTTGCAAATAACTACATAACGGTTGCTTCACATGAAAAACCGTTTGCACTGTTGAATTTACCGTCAAAAATGTACACTGATGATTAATATGAGATTTAAAATAAACTGCTCAAAAGTGAATAGGGATATTTGTATTTGATTTTTATTATATTAATTCTAATTAAATTAACCAATATATTTTTGTTAGTTGGATAATACAAAATGGAAAATAAAAACCAATAACAAACAAATGTTAATCCTCATTATTAATAACGGATTTACCTAAGAATAGTAAACATGAAGATTATTTATTTTCTAACAAACACTTTTTCTCGTCTTTTCTCGATTTTTGCCATGTGGTCTCCTGGACTTTACCTGAAATATTGAATGTGCCAATAGGAGGACCGGTAAGGGAGAACAGAAATGTTGTCATTGCTGCAAAACGGAACTCTATACATAGTGCCCGCCAGATCCTAATTTTTTATCAACACAAACGATTCGTAATCTTTTGTGGGATATTGGCCTCACGTCATATGCTCCATTGAGACTATCTGCAGCAAGACCGCCACCAGCAACTCAGGAGAATATGGTGCAGCGAGCGCCTAGAAGAGAACACCAACTAGAATGCAACAGCATGTTTACTGATGAGTCGGTGTCTATATAGCAGGCGCTACAGAAAACAGGAGATGCATAGAATGCCCCAGTTCATGCTCCCTTCAGTGCATTCAGTGCAGATTGCAGGAAGCGGTATAATGGTCTGGGTTGGGATTTCACGACGAACTGGACTCCGTATTATTGAAGGCAACCTCACCGTAGTCCGTTATGTCCAAGAAATTATCCAGGAATACATCCCTCAAACCTAGGATCTCAATTGGCAGGGTTTTTCGATTTCTGGATGGCAATGCCAGACCTCATAAGAGTAGAGTGGTTAATCAAAGTTTCGAAAACTGATAATTTCCCATCTGCCCATTACTCCTTTATCTTCAGACCTCAATCCAATTAAGGACATGTGGGATGCTTCAGAGAAGGCTTTTCGTTCAATATCCAGTTGACTACAGTTCGAACAGCAGCAGCAGCCATTTGACCTGCCACAACTGAATTCAGCGTTGCAACATCTAAAGTATGATATTTCTTATGAATTAGTGACAATCTTATTAGCTATCAGAGTATATTATACACGTTATTAATTATTTTTAAAAAATATTGTGTCCAATAAAAAATTATCGAATTAAAACCTTTTATTTTGTACTTTTTCAAAATCCTGTAATAAAATTTTCTTTCTGTAAAAAATATAATCATTTCTAATAAATTTTATAATATAAATAAAATAAAAATTCTAGCGACAGTAAATACTGCAAAATGGGCAATACGCAATATTCATTTTTGAGCAGTTTAGTTAAGCTCCAGCTTGTATCCCACTAAGATGAAAAATTAGATTGATACGTTTTGGACCATGAGAAACTAGACAGAAAATAAACGTTTATGTAGCTCAGGGTTTTTCCGAAAAAAAGCTCCAATAAGAAAAAATGAGAGAAACAGAAATTAAAACTCTCCCTGTGTAATATACATACGTAAAGGCTTTTTTCTCCTTCTTAATTTATGCTATTAGGGTTTTTCCCCACCAATTAATTTCAAATGCAATACGAATGTAATAATGAATAGTATATTTTATGTTGATTGGGATTCGGGTTGTGGTCTTCAAACATACAATGTTATTATATCAACGCCCAAGCTTTCGACAAGTTTTATTGCTTTCTTCAGGGGATCTAGAACAAGATAAGGTCTCTCTCAAAAGATCGTAACAATACTTGCGTACATATTTATTTATTTATTTATCTATTTATTTATTTATTTAGTTATTTATTTATATATTATAACAGGCTGTGATAACATAGAATTACCAATGTATTAGAAATTAAGATCTTCTTTTTAAAAATTGTGGGAAATGATTGTTATCATTAGGTGATAGTGTGGGGAACCTCCCACCTGATAACGTGATAAACACAATTTTCTAATCAAACTCCTGTGATATTTATGTACCAAAAGAATATCATTTATTAAGTAATTGTTACTGGTTTTAAAAAATGCCTATATATGTAAGAGGCTGTTAAGAAGAGGTTTTTATTTATTTATTTATTTATTATATATGTATATAGATTGTTTGTATACATATCGTGTAATGTGCAATGTGTTTACGATTTGACTTTGTATCTGTAAGTAACAAAAAACTGATATTTTATAACTATTTATACAATTTATAACTGTCTAAATGATTATGTCCCTATGTCTCTGTAGATCCCCTGAAGAAGGCAATAAAACTTGTCGAAAGCTTGGGCGTTGATATAATAACATTGTATGTTTGAAGACCACAACCCGAATCCTAATCAACATCGTATGAAGGCTGGTTGACGCACAACAAACATTAGTATATTTCATCGTTGTGTTTTCATGACCAGATTTTAAATACAGATGCATTCAACTCTTGCAAGACGTGAATGTCTCCATAAAATAATGATGAGGCAAACTACTCGAGAGGTATGGAAATTCTCACTCTATAACTAATTACAAGTAGTTTTACACTTAAGAACACAGGTTGTCCCAACGACTTTGTTATCAATTAGAGGTTCAGTCAATTAAGTTAGAATTATACACACAGATTTTTCTCTAAATTTTTTCTTTTATATTTCAAAGCTATGACAATTATTGAGGAGGCGTTTAAACATGTAAAAGCCTACGTGAAAGGATATTGTAATACTCTAATGTAAAAGTTCACTTATCATATCGTTAACAATAGGTAATGGCACTTGAATTAAACACAACTAAACTGAATTTAAAACATTTACTACAATGAAGAGTCAACTAATGAACAAACAAACATTATGTTGCATTTCGATGTCTATCATTGAGACGACGACGTTAACAGGCTTACTAATAGTCGGGTAGTGGTTAAAGACGAAGCCAGGAAACATTAGCTTTTAATGAGGCGGCTCCCGACCGCAACTTCTAATATTAATTAAGCGGCTCAAACGTGGTCTAAAAGCTTTTAAATGAAGAGAGCCCAAGTTGTGACGGGGTGAAGATGTCTGACAGGAAAGACTTGAGGGATCGAAGATTAATGATCGAGCCCAATGAGTGATCGCAACTCGTTGTCAGGGGCTTGGCAGCTTATATTAGACTAAATAGCATCCTGCTACGACCTCCCTCGCATTTTTCATTCGGTTTAAAAAAAGCCCTCTTGGGAATTGGGGTTTTTCTCACTCTTTATAAAAGATAGTTTCATTAAAATTTATTTTGAGGTAGATTGCACTTTTATGTTGAAAAAAATGATTTTATACCTTTATATATGTAAATATATATAATAATATATGTATATATATAATTATTATATATATAATAACCTAATGACCTTATACATATACATATTTATATTTTTTTTTATCACAGTCAAATTTGAATATCTAAAACGGGAAATCGTTATTACACCTGAAATGGATTTGTTAAGCCCACACGGGAATATAACAGAACAACTAACTTTTAAGACCTCTCCTGAAAAAGTTGGTAAATTGTACTTTTATTTCTTAATTTTTTATTTTCTCGAATTCGTGATTTCCCCTACCAATACTAAACGTCATATTAACACCTTAACAGTTGCTGCCCTAAATTTTAACTTTATGCTCCGTTTCTTTAAAGCTAATACAAACTAAGGCATTCATTATTTTTATTCATTATTTAGTATGTGATAGACTATAGTTCGATCGTTCAGATTTTAAAAATGTCGTGTCTTACAGAAATTACATTCATACGAATGAGGTGAAATCGTACTTGTGAAAACTTAAATTACAAATGACACAACGCCTAAATGAAAACATATTAAGTTGAAAATAACTCAGATAGAGGGTGATAATATAGAAAAAAAAGAAAATGAAAAAACCTTCAAACATTGCGTAGAACAAGGAAAACAAACATCGTCATTTTAACGACTGCATTTATTGTCGGCACCCTACTGCAAAATGAGACCAAATTTTCAAATATTTTAAAAAATTCCAATTAATCAGACAAATGCATTTGACAATTTTATTAAGAATTTCCAACAAAATGACAATCGGTTTGCCAATGAGAAATATTAAAAATAATAAATAATATATGAATATATTATTATATTATTATATGTGAAATATAATCCTGAAAGGATAAACTGACCGAACCGTTACCAACGTTTTTTCCCGTCGTCGGCTCTTTTCACCTCAAAGAAGCAGACGCTTTATACAAAAATGTCTTTTCTATACCGACTTCCTTCCCCACCCCTTCAAAATCCAACGTATATAAACATAAAACAGCAAAATCTCCCTGGCACTCTCAACACGACACGCAAGAATGGCACAATTACACAGAAGACAAACACTTTGAGTGAGTAGAAATACTTTGATTGAATATAAAAAATATATTTTGTATTATATACATTCACTTTTTCCACATTCTACGTGTATTTGTTAAATGTATACAATGTTTGTAAATCCCAGGCCCTGAAGATGATCTCAATAAAGATCGAAACGTTGGCACGATAGAGAAAATGTTTTTCTGAAACCTACATCACACCAGACCGCATCTCACGATTTCTGAATAATTAAAAATAAATTGTTAACTTATAGAAACGTAAGTAAGCAAATTTTTAAACTCACTGCATGTTGAAACATGCAAGTTGAAATAAAAACCTAAAAAAATAACACAATTTAGATAAGTATTGCATTTAAAAAAAATACAACTGTAGGTATTTTTTCAGTCAATAAAACTTTTAAAAGGGTATATATAACTAGTAAAAAAATAGGTAAATATAGTGAGGCAATAATAAATTTAAAAATATTCATGTAAATGTACGAATGGATATCTACATGCATCACTACAAAATAACAATAAACCCATTGAGAAAGTAATAATAATATTTAAACTGCAGTTATTGTATAAGACATCGAATAATATTTTATAATTCAAAAAATATTTTTTCATGTGGTATTTGTTGAGGAATAAATTGCGACACTCCGACCGCGTTAAATTGCGTTGAAAATTATAATAATTATAATAATAATTACAACGCATTAATAACATTTCATTAATAATATGTTAAATATAGCCTGTTCAAATTCGTTATTGGGAAGCAACAAATACAACCAAATTTGTTAACCATAATCAGTAAACACTTTCTCAACCTATAATCAGAATGCTATAGGGATATTGTGGATGTGTTGGATAAGTTTATTTCTTTTAAAGAAGTGATTTGAAACATCCTAACAACCCAAGATTAAGCTTTCTCGAATTTGCGTTAGAAAAACTCGCAATATAATCGTAATCAGGATGAAAATAAAGTAAAAGTATTTGTATCTCTTGAAAATTTACATTCTCGTCCATAATCCGGGAATTAAATATTCTTATATGTACCTATTTTTAAAATATAGCTAAGATTTTTCCAAAGGTGACGATCAATTGAGCTTTGATCGTTAACGAAGACAGTAGATGATTTTAATTAAACGGTTTCTTGACATAATAATAATCAAAATTCATATCTTTGATAATCTGCTTAAAAGAAGCCTTTCAATTTAGAATGTAATAGCAACCCTTAATTGTTTGCAAATAATATTTTACTTGCAAAATAGATAAACAGATCTGTTAAACCGATTGGTTCATCTACAGTTTTTATCTCATTTAAGATTTATGATTTAATATATAATTTATGTTATTTTAAGATTTAAACAAAACTTTAAATTTTTAAATATTAATCACTCTATTCGATATTTCGATATTCTCTATTTAATATTTCGAGATTTTCTATTCGACTTGCACTTCTGAAAACAGTTTTCACCCCGAAAAAAAGGAATAATATTTTATATGTACATTTTGTACCTTATCTTTTTTTTAAATATATCAACAAGTGTATGTTTGTATCAGTGTCAACTCTATATATGTTTTGGTTTTGTAATTTTCTAAATTATTACTAAAATAAAACTTTGTGTTATTAAATAATAAAAAACGTACTTTTATTATTTTACAAGGCTTTTTTAAACTGAAAAGAATAGAATTTTTTCCACGCGGTACATCCCCAAACCCCAATGAGTCACGAAAGTAAGAAGAGGGCGAAGGTCGTAAGCAAGGGGAGCGACAGGGTTGTGGCGTCTGCGGGGGTGGGCCACCCCTCGGGACTCCGCTCATCTTGTGAGAGCTCTCCCCTTCGCGTCTTGTTATAAACTCTCCTCAAATGACCCCACCACCCTTCCACCACGTCACAAAACATATATTGAACGCAGGAGACAAATTACAGTCCAAACATGAGATCAAATGAATGGTTTCAGTTAGCTAAAGACGTCCACCCTATCCTTTGGGGACGTCGGACCTACCGGGTAAACACGGATCCAGTGACCTTCCGACTGATTACTATTTCGATTACCCTACCGTTAGAAATATCCTTCAAAGATAGCTTTTATCTGTCTCCCCTCAGACGTTTACTTCCGTAAATTGAATACAAATGGAAATCTGCTCGGTAATTATTTCATACTAGCCCGGAAGGAAGTTACTGTCAATTATAACTATGATTAGTATTATTCACATTTATGTTTAGTTTGTACATTATGACAAAATATTTACAGGAGATATCGTAATAGTAAACTAATTTAAGAATTCATTACATTGTATGTTTTCGGTTTCAGAAGAGTTCTTGTGACGGCAGATTGTGTTTATCCTTGTTCCGACTGCGTGTGGCTTGACGAGCGTACTTACTGACTTTTGATCTGACTTAGTATGTCGTATCGGACAGCAAAACCTTTCCCATGATCCGAAAAGGTTTGTGGCTTGGCGAATCTCGAGAAGCCACCCATTGCGTAATTTTTTTAAATAAAGCCAGTTTCGATTTATATATCAACGCTAGTGTAATGTTCTATCATGATATACAATGAGTTGAAAAATGATCTCAATTCAGAATAAACCGGCACAACTGCAACAAACATCCACAGAACATAGGAACGGTTACTCAAAGAGTATTGAGGCCCGTCAACTTAGCTTTTCATGTCGGAGTATTTACTGATGATACACGGGAAGGGCCTAGCTACCTCGAGCAATAGGTTCTCAAGGTATGATAAATTTCAGGTCAGGCTCACTAAGCGACACGCCGTGGGTACATGGCTTTAAGATCTGTATTCCCTGAACTCTCAAAAATTATAGCACTTCTGCTTTATTCTAACATCGGCTTCATGTTTGTTAGAATATTAAATTGCGATATATGAGTATATCGGATATACCTCATTCTGCACCACCTGAAGTAAGCGATATATATCCTACACATGTGATATAAGGAAGGCATGCAAACAAAAACATCGGTCGGACCACCAGCTCGTACAAAAAATATTTTTCGGCCTCGAACGGACTATACGGTCGGCACAGTGGAGAAAAAAGCCGATTCCTTTACTTTAGGAGCAAAGATATGCTTTTTATCCATTACAACTCTGAGGCAGATGGCTACCGATTAACTGAGACGGACCACGCCAATCTTGTGTTGTACCGTTGTATTGATTTTTCTTTGACAGCTGGTTTACTACATTCAATTTTAATTTTCCAGCAATTGCTAAACTTGAAATCCTCTGCAAACATGATGTTTGTTGGTCGACCTTTAGGTAATCTATGTAGATTTCCAATCTTCGTAGAGGTCATTAGACAGGTGAAAAAGGAAGATTAATTGCAGGGTTCACCGTGCTTTCGGCACGTTATAGGACCATCATCAGGGCCTATTTCTTACAAATTAAAATGTTACTGCGTATTTATTTTAATTTGTAATAAAATAGGCGCTGATGATGGCACTATAAGGTGCCGAAAAGCTCGGGGAACCCAGTAATTAATCTTCTTTTTTTTCGCCCGTCTAATGACCTCTACGAAAATTGGAACCCTACATACATCCTCTGCAAACGTTATTAAATATTTTCGATTTTGTATCTATACTACAGGAGGATAGTTAAAGTAGAGATCCATTTTGACATTACACGTTAGAGTGATTGGGTTGACATATGTAAAGAAACAAACCACTAGTGATAGCATTATTTGCAAATTATTTATCTTTAAATAGTTCGATAATATGGGAAAAATGTATTATTTACATATAATTGAAAAGTTTGCGTGCAATGAAAACAATGAGTTAGGTTAGACACTAAAAACAAAGCCCTGCACACTTTTTCAACAGTAATAATAGTGTCTCAATATTCTGTACATTTCATTTTTTATTTTTAGTTGGTGTATAATTTACATTAAGTTCATTCGCTTTATTTAATAGTTTTTTTTTTGTTCTTCGCTATGTCCAGATGGCTGGATAACCCAACTGAATAAATTCATTGGTATCCTACCTGCGTTTATGAAGATGATAGAGACAGATGTTCCATCGATTTAAAAAATACCAATACAATAGTATTTTAACTGGATGTTGTCTTCTCTGTTTGGGTCCGCAGGTAGGAGACCTTATTATTGATGCAAATGTTGGTAGGTTTTTCTGTTTTATTGACAGTCATGGTTTAAATGCGATGTGTCTGCAAGGAAAACGTTGAAATTATAAAACGCCCATTATCAATTTTCTTTTCAAAGGTATATATAACGACACGCTATATCAAGTTGACAGTGTTAGATAAAATTAACGCCTTCACAGTTAGTAAGTTTGGCTTCTGGAACAATTTAGTTTTGAACTTGGAATCATAAGCATTTCATCATATAGACCTCGGCAACAGCTAGGAAACGAAACTTTTGAGGTTACCAAGGTTAAAGGAACCGATACGTTTACGGTTCTACCGGTGGTGCGAGATTACCAGAACGCGGTGAATTAGGTTATGTTCGGATCCGGGGTCCGACGAAACGCCGGTGAAATTAAGTAGAAGCAAAACCGTTCCATTTGTGGTCAAAGGTAAACTGATACAAGCTCAGGGGGCAGATGGAAGGGAGTAATCGAATTTCGTTCAAGAAGAGGGCTTTCTTAAAGAGGAAATAGGCATAACACGTGACCGAAGGAAGAAACAGTAGGAAATCAATCAGGATCGGTCAAGTTAATCGAGCAAACGCCTGACCCCCAAACTAATCTATTATTTATACCTCCAATCTCTTAGGAACTTTCAATTTTTGCGTTTCCGCTTTGAATTAGAAATACTTTTCAGTATATTTTACAAAATAATTTATTTGGATGTGGAGAAAAAATTATAACCTCCTTAAAGTCGTAACTCAGCTCAATAAGTCAATCGTTGATGAAGAGATTTTTTTTAACCATATTAAAATGGATGAACCTCGTGATTTTGTTGAGTAAGTGCATACATTAGATTTTTTTAAATTGGTAATTCTTGAATAAGCATACTACTTAGAGAAATTGAACTATTCAATACTGTGTGGTGTCCTTGTAGAGAAGGAAGTAGGGATAGAATAACATTTTTATATGAGGAGTCCCTTCCCCACCCCTTCAAAATCCAATGTAAATAGAATAAAACATAAATATTTCACTGGCACTCTCAACATGTCAGATAAGAATGACACATCTACACAGATAACAAACACTTTGAGTTTGTACAAATGCTTTGATTGAGTCTAACATTTCTAGCATTGTGTAAATTCATTTTTTCCCGCATCCTACATGTATTTGTATAATTTAAACAATGTTTATACATCCCAGGCCCTGAAGATGATCTCAATAAAGATCGAAACGTTGGCACGATAAAGAAAATGTTTTTTCAAAACCTACTTCACTCCAAAACTATTCAATACTGATGCTACAATAATTTAAAAAAGTGTGTGGTGTTTAGTGACAGTTAATCAAGATTATTTGGAGATGGTGAGATGCGGTCTGGTGTGATGTAGGTTTTAAAAGCATTTTCTTTTTCATGCCAATGTTTCGATCATATCCTCCATAACACTCACTACTTTAAACACATAATCAACAGAATAATCAACAACTACAACTCAACACTAACTCCATCCACTATTACTAATAATACTACATCAAATCTATCAAATACAGACAAACCAACATACATTACATGCCATTCATTCACGGCCTATCACATAAATTAAACACATTTCTCTCTTCTGACAACTGTAGCTTTCAAAACCTATACAATAATTCACACACTTCTTTCCAAAATTAAAGATCACATACCAGTAACAAATAAATCTGACGTAATTTACAAAATCATTTGTTTAAATTGTCCGGCAAGTTATATCGGTATTACATCTCAATATCTGGATAAGAGAGTGAAGCAACATATCTATAATTGCAAAATACCCAAACAAAATCCTATTGGACTAGCTACACATCATTTTGTACACCAAAACAATTTCGACTTGAACAATCCAAAAATATTACACACAGAACAATACAAACATAAACGTAAATTTTTAGAAATGGTTTACACCAACAGGGATAAGCACAGCAACAATTACAGAACAGACACATATAAACTCAGTCGCAGCTACGCTAATATCATTAATTAAATTCAATATCCATAACATATAACATATAAAACAATCATTACATTCCACACATCAAACATTACTACACAGTCTAATTCTTCAACAATATGGCTTTACTTTTCCTAATTATCCCCGTCTATATAATCCTGAAAGGATAATCAGGACGAACCTTTACCCATTTTTTCTCACTATCGGCTCCTTTCACCTCAAAGAAGCCGACTCCTCATATAAAAATGTCTTTCTATTCCCGACTTCTCTCCACACCCCTTCAAAATCCAATGTATATAGAATAAAACATCAATATTTCACTGGCGCTTTCAACATGTCAGATAAGAATGACAAATCTACACAGATAACAAACACTTTGAGTTTGTACAAATGCTTTGATTGAGTCTAACATTTCTAGCATTGTATAAATTCAGTTTTTCCCGCATCCTACATTTATTTGTAAAATTTAAACAATGTTTATAAATGCCAGGCTCTGTTGATGATCTCAATAAAGATCGAAACATTGCATCTCACGATCTCCAAATAATAATTTAAGAAAGGTTTCGTACAAAAATTCATACATATACTTGTAAAAGGTTTAACTTTTTTAGATTTTATGTCGTTCAGCTCGAATTACGATCAATGTAATAAAACATCTAATCGGTTAGATATTTCGTTTAAGCTATAAATGGACTAAATGACTAATAAAGTATTACCTACAAGCTTTTAATATTTGTGTAATCGTGGATGTTTGAATCGATTGGTTCTAATTTTCCAATAATTCACAAAGTAGTTGATATAAATTTATGTAGGATAAATAGTTTTTTCCTTTGTGTGCTGCGTACTGTGAGATTTAGTGCTGTAATGAACTACCCATAACAGGTACTTTAGGGTTCTCATTAACACGGTAACAGTGACTTTACACGATATACTCATTGTGATACCAATTAATTGCCACACGAATCCATTGCTGATTCATTAACGTAACGATAGCGTACACACAAAATAAAAACAAATAACCGTTGATTACGTCAAAATGTGGTAGTTCACTAATAATTTTTATTTAGTGACAGATTAAAAAATAGTAGATAATATTTAATAACGACAAGGACAGTTTATCGAAGTTACTTATGTTAATACAATGGAAGAAAAGAAAGGGGATGGAAAAGGGTGCTAAATATTCGACAAGGAACGCTCTCGAGGGGCTGGCATCTCTCCCTTACAAATTACACAGGAACCAACAGATAGGGTGCGGTCCACCCCCGAAGATAGTGTGTTTCCATGTCACCGTCAGTCAAGATCCCAACCCTACGAGTCAGAAAGAAGGGACTTTTCATTTGGGCGCTCGTCCGGACAAATGGGGATTTATTCCTCATAAGGGTTAGATCATCCCTCACACGG